ATATATATATATGCTTGATTGGTGTTTCTAATATCTTCTGTCTGTTTTGTAGCATTTTTTTGTCTTGATTAGCTGGCAACATTGTGTTTCCTGTATTGGAGGCTTTTAGTGCGGCTTGGTTTCGGGTAAATGGACTATTCACTCAAGTCCCTATTCACTCCCAACTCCAGATGAATGTTGCTTATTTCTCTCATCAAAAAGTTTTTCTAAACTTGTAGAGGTCTAGTATATTCCATTCACCAGTAGACGTCACCCACAGCTTAGGTTTCAGAGTTGTTTCAAGTCTTGTAGATTTAATTAATCCAAATTTAGTTCAGTTTATGGAAGCAAAGTCATCAATTCAAGTAGACTCAAGTAGATAGTCCAGCATTTTGTAATGCCTTTCTAAAACAATATCTGTCCAATTTAAAAATCCAATTTTTTATGTTTTAAAAGGTCTTTAGCTTTTCTTACCTTAGTTCTTTTCTTTCAGAACTAGGATTTTTCTCTCTATAGTTGTTTCCCACTTTAAAAATAGTTCTAAGGGGCTCTTTTCCTGGATTTTCTTCTTTCTTTTTTCTTTAAAGTTAGGGACTAAATAAAAATGAATCTTCTCACTCAGCTCCAATCACTGTTCATTTGCACTGCTCCTGCACATTTCTTTGTTGCCTCGGCTGTCCCAGCTTTGTGGCATCCATGATGGATGCCTCTTCTCGTCAAGGGAGAGGGAAGAAGCCCTGGATCCAGCAGGAGAGTTGCTGCTCTCCCTGAACTACAGGGCACCTCTCTTTTCTTCACGACCCCTACAGGTTGTCTTTAGCTCCTTTTGTAGCCCTCCAACAGGGAGAATTCGGCATCGGACCATGGAGATCTGCTCCTCATGTCTGATATTGCTAATATAACATCAGCTGGAAGTCACCACTAAAAATGTTTTACTGTTATTGCACTTTAACAACTGCAATTATCTATGTTAAGAGTAAGAATAAATTGAAATTAAAATTAATTCTATGTAGTAAAAAATATTGCAAATAAAACAGGGAAGTGGCTAGCACATAAATTAAAAAAGAACACTATATTTAAATTACAAGAGAGAAGTACATAGCTTTTTTGTAGCCATACAAAAAGCATTGCATCAACATTATACTAATTTATATAATGGAAGTAACATTTTCTGTAGAGAATAGAAATGACTATCCAAAGAAACACAATTTACCTTAGATTACTGAGGAACAGAGACATATTATGAATAGATCTATCACTAGACAGGAAGTTTCTGATGCTATAAAAAAGAGTCAAGTAGGAAAGTTTCCTGGATTATCAGGTTCTTGTTATCAAAGTTTTGGTACTTTTACAATCTTTACAAAACATGATTACCTCTGTCCTACAGGTAGGAAAGATATCAGAGAGTTGGAAAAGGAGTCAATATAGTATTAATACCTAAGCAAGAAAAAAGATTTGATTTTAACAACAACAACAAACAACAACAACAACAACAACAACAACAACAACAACAACACACTATAGGCCCATATCATTATGGCTTTCCTTCAAACCTTCAAAGCACTTGTCAGGCATCATTCAATGAGGAGTAGCATGGAAGAGCTCCATAGGAATCAGCAAAATAGATGATGTTAACATGACAAAGATTATAATGACTGAAAAACCAAATCACACCGAAACTGCTTGAATCAGAAACTATATCTTATGTGGGACTTTCAATGTATATCAAACTTTTGATGATCTGGGTCATCAACCATTCCACATAGTCCCCATGGTAGACCATGAATTCCCAAGCTTGGTTTCAGACTTTGTGCCTTAGGGAAGTTACGTTCAAATTCTCCAGTACCACAGCTCTGAACAGCCCCACTGCCATTTCTGTAGTAGCATTGAATCATTTGGCAGGATGTCCGCTGAAAACTACATTGTTATCTGATCTCCTAAGTCCCAGCCTCACAGATAGTGTGTAGCTTTCTCTAAAGCAACACCTCAGATGGCCATTGAAAGTCTTGCAAACAAAAATAGTCTGGCAAAGGTTTACAAACAAGAATGGCCATTCTATCATCCCAATCCTGGGTAAGAGTTGGCTCTGTATTCAGTCCGTTTGCAAAATGTTTGAATGCATAGAACATGTATTTTAAAAAAAGGAAGCTTCCCAAAATAGTTTAAGAGTATAATATCCGTATAATATCCTCCCTACCCCCAGAGTTTATTATTCTATATTAGAATGTGATTTAATTATAAACCACGGAGTAATGCTTTTGGAGAACATGTACTATATTTAGCTCATTGTCCACAATGATGGATTGCATATTTTACAGATGAATGGAGAATGAGTGACTTTTATAAAGAAAAGTTGATGAAGTGAATATTTCTGGCCACAGAGGGATCCTGATTCTGATCTTCTGTAAATTATTTCGCTGTAACAAATGGTGTTGATTTTCCTCATGAGACTCTCTATTTAGGGGAGCAGCCTAGAAAAGAAAAGAAAGTTCAGTATGAATTGTCTACCAAAGCAGAGAAGACCATTGTCAGTTCTGAAAGGCCATTTAACAGAAGAATCTGTGAACATGGAAAGGTTACAGTGTTTTGTCCATTTTTTTTAAAAAAAATTATAATTAGTTTTAGAACCAGCACTTGTGGTATCCAAGAAATGATTGTTACAATTTCCTTTGCAAAGAATGGAGAAATATGGACTGCCTTGCAAATGAATATTTCGTTGGCATTCTGTAGATCCCAAAGCTATTTTATTTCTTCTGGATTAAGAAAGGAAACACAGAGACACAGAAATCATTTTGCATTTTTGCAAGATCCTCATTTGGTGTCTTGGACTGAAGAGCATGCAAAGTATAAAACTTTGGAATAATGTATACTTAGCTAAATGAACGAAGGAAAAAATATTTCTTCTTGCAAGCCACCCATTTTGCCAAAGGCAACTCTAGGCAGCTTACACACATTGAATAAAATATAGTATAAAACATTAAAACAAATAAATACCTTAAATCTAAACATTGAATTAAAGTAAAACTAAGCAGAATGGCGAGAAAAGCAAAGTTTGCACAGGGAGGAGGTATACATTTTACTTTACTTTATTTATTTGTTCAACTATGATCCCATAAAGAATTATCAGTTTGGGTGTTATTATGGATTTTCACCCTTAGATTAGAAACTAAATTTAGTTTTTGAATATCAGACCCAAATGTTCATAAGCTCTTCATAAAACACTAACTCCATGTAACTGATAGCCCTGGGGCAGATGGATTCCTTTGTTTATTTTTATTTATTTATTAAATTTATATGTTGCCCATCTTTCTGATAAGGCTTTGTACCAACTAGATGATAGGCAGACGGGAGAGAGGGGGGAGGGTTTTTTCCCTCAAACTACTGCTTATTTGGCTTCAAAATCATTTTTTCAGCATTTCCTGAAATGATCTAAGTCTCATTATGGATTTCATCTTAGAATTTTTTTTTTAAGACTGTTCTTTTCAAATAACTACTATTTCTTCTCATTCACATCCATTATTTTTGATATAGACTTAATGCATTTATCTGATGTTCCTCAAAATCTCCCATCTCTGTGTCTGTATCCTTAAATGTGTAGGACAGGAAAGGATCGGAAAAGACTCTCACTATGAACAGGAGGGTAGAGTACAGTTTGTGATCGATGCTGTTTATGCCATGGCTCATGCCCTCCATCAGATGAACAAGGATTTGTGCAATGATTATTCTGGAATCTGCCCAGAGATGGAACACGCAGGGGGCAAGAAGCTACTAAGATATATACGCAGTGTTAACTTCAATGGTGAGTCTGTATTCTTATATCTCCCTCTTATTTCACCTTAATAATCCTAAATAACTTGTTAGCCAATACTTTATTAATCTAACAAAATGTGCAAAATGTGTAGTGCAAAATGTGTTGCTTGTTGAAGAGTTATTTTGTTCTTTCCCATTTACCATGGAAATGAACTATTGTTTAACTTTCTGGAATTTATTTTTGTCTAACAACTTTCCTATTATCATATGGCTAATTAAAAATATAATAGGAGATATATAGCCAATTTTGTCTAGTGATTAAGGCACCATGCCAGAAACTTAGAAGACTGAGTTCTAGTCCCACCTTAGGTGTGAAAATGAGCTGGGTGACTTTGGACCTGTCAATCTCTCTCAACCCAATCCACCTCACAGGATAGTTGTTGTGGGGACATTAAGTTAAGGAAGGAGAATTAAGTAAGGTGAGATAAAAATTATTTATAATTATTATATTATTCTATTCTGTTCTGTTCTGTTCTGTTCCATTCCACTCCACTCCACTCCACCCCACCCCATTCCTTTCTATACCACACTTCTATTATTAATTATATGATGTATCCTCAGTGTTAAAACATCAAAAGAAATGAGACTCAACACTATTTTATTAGATTTGTGAATGAATATTATTATGCACTTACAACCTATTGGTAATGATTGTACCTTCAAAACCATGTTGCTTGCTGTTCATCTTCACTGTTGTGGTATTTTTATTGTCATAATATATACATTTACAATTCTATATGTATAAAAGTGATGCAGTTAGTCTGTTGCAGAAAGGAAAATGACCTGCAGGAATAGGCAAGATCCTTTGAAAAGGCAGCAATGGGAAAGATGTGATTTAAGTCCAAAAGAAGGAAAAGAGAGTATACACAAGAGACTCAGACAGATGCTGCCTTAATTCAGATGAGTGACTACTGAGGATTGTGGGAATAAAGCACTGTCAGACTTGCAGGATTCTATTATTATAGCTAATATTAATAATGAATAAATTGTTTAACCTTTTGTGGAATCGGTTTCTTGGTTTTGATAAGGGAAAGTTGGAGCAAAAAAAGGGTGAAAGATCATCACATGTTAAGAAAAAAAGGTTGGGAAACAGGCAGAGAAAAAAGGCAGGAACAGCACTCTCATGGATTAGCTTGTATGACTTATTATTTGTACTTGAGATGAAAAAAAAAAAAAAAAGAAACTGGTTGCCAGAAAGGTTCCATTCTTTCTGAAAGCCAAAGCAGAAATAGGCATAGATGTATACATGTAATTATAAAAGGGGCTGGGGGAGAAAGCTTTAAAAAATCCAAACATATAGGGCTTATATGTACAGATAAACCTATGTATATAAAGTTGTACAATAAATATTTCAATAAATGGAGGTTATAATTCATTATAGTCATTCATATATAATCTATGTATGCTGATGAATTCTGCAGACCATTGAAGAGTTGGAGCCATCAACTAGAAAATCTTCTTTCTTATTCAGGAGTCAATTCCCATGAGATAGGAATACACTTGAAAAGAATACAAACATCTAAAAATACTGAATCTCAGAATTAAGTTAATGTATGCAATAACTTCTTTCTCAAATGGAACAATTATTGCTACAAAAACATGTACTTAAATGAAATATTAATTCCACTTCATTCCACAATCTCACCATTTATTCTACATAAATTAAATGAAGTCATTTCTGAAATGTTATTTCTTCTTGAATTTCAATGAAGTCATTTCTGAAAACTTATTTCTTTTTGAAAATGATGTAATCTAAAATGTATGATGGTGCAGTGGTTGGAATGTAGTATTGCAGGCTAATTCTGCTGACTGCAAGCAGTTTGATCCTGAGCAACTCAAGGTTGACTCAGCCTTCCATCCTTCCGAGGTGAGTAAAATGAGGACCCCGATTGTTGAGGCAGAATGCCGACTCTGTAAACCTCTTAGAGCTGTGAAGCAGTATACATGAATCTATAAATAATTAAACATATGAATAAAATAGAATGGAAATACAGAAGCCAACACAATTATATACATATAAATATGAGTGTTATTGAAGTTTTCAGTATTTTTAACATCTTTTTCTATTAATTAAATTTGCAAAGAAAATAAGCAAAAACAAAGTAAAGGTTATATGTAAATATACAAATGATGATTATAAAAAGGAAATAACTATTTAAAAAGCAGATGAAACAACAATAAATAAAACATTATTTTAAGAAAGCATTTTGATAGTCCCTCCTTTCTCCCACTCCCTTTTTTTTTTTGCCATACCTGCTAATTGTTGTTTGAATATTTTTGCACCATACTTTGGAGGTTCTTACATATTTCTGTTTAGAGATGATGATGATCATGATGATGATTGATGGGGTCTCTGCTATGAAGACACAACCTCATCAAATTGTTAATAATCATCTTGACTTCAGAGCTGGGAGATTGTACGGATGACACAGTATTTCTACACTTGGTGACAAAGCTAAGGAAGCAAGTTTTTAATGTCAACATTTGTTAATTATGTAAAAGGGACAAATTAAGGCCACAAGTGTTGGCTTTTTGAATTTATTCAGTGTCACATAAGTTATTAACTTCTAGAAGTAACTTAAGAGCAAAGAGTTCCAGAAGACATTTTTAGTATGAATTTCAAAAGATGCATCTGCATTTCTATTATTGGAAGGACCCAACACTTTCTTCTCCCACAGTTTGTACCCAAGTCAGGAATATAACAAACCAGGTCAGTGTTGGCAAACCTTTTCAGCACTGACTACCGAAATGGGAGTGCATGTGCATGTGGGAGAGCACCAGAAACTGAAAGAGCAGCTTTCCAGTGTGTGTGCAAGTGCCAGAAACCAGAAAAGCAGCTCCCTGGTGTACAAGTGCACGACGGCCACCTGGTCTTCCGGTTTCTGGTGGTTTCTTCCGGTTAGGAAAATGTAAAATATTCTTGAAGAAAGAGATGTCGAGGGAAGAAATGGTGAACTGAAGGTGGCTCCTCAAAAAGTAGAACTGAAGACTGTGGTGGAATGAAGTGCCCATAAGTGCTTCAGACAACTGCTCCTTGTGAGATGACTGCAAGGCAGTGGTCTCTGGTAGATTTAAAGCTTTCAGAAATGAGTGAATAGCAATCTTGCTCAAACTGTAGGTAACACCTCTGAACAGACAATAAGTTTGCATACTTCCTTTCTAATGAATTTCCAAAACTGTTTGTTAACTGATTTTCATTTATTAAGAACATTTAGATTGACAGGTTTCACAGCACAAGGTGAGTAATTTGGAATAAACAGAAAAGGGATGATTAAAATTTTGATTTTAAAATGTTACAAATGAACTAAGGCTGCAGATAAATTTGAAATAAGATTTTGGAATTAGTTATAAAGAAACTTTCCTGTGGGAAATGCTGCTAAAAAAATTCCTTTTCTGTAATAGAATGGAGAAATGTCATATAACCTGTCCTACGTATGACTTAAAATAGAAACAGGATAGTTACTGATATTTTTCAAAAAGGGATACTGGGGAAGAGCATTTTAAAAGGAACCATATAATACTGCTGATAGGAATTGCTGGGAAAGTTTAATTTCAGCTTTCAAAGCCTTTAAACTGATACAATTGACCATTTTCCCAACATTTGGATTGGTTTATGTTGATATTTTTTATCAGCTTAAAATTATGTCTCCTATTTAGATTATCCTACTCTTAAATATGTTATTTTAATGTCCCTTTTCATTATTGCTTCATTTAGACTTTTATGTTTAATTTCTCTATCTATTGTCAAGAGAATTGTATTATTGGGTAGCTTGAAACTGAAACAAATAACAAAATTAATTAATGCTTGTTAGTCATGCTCACACAAATAAAACAAAGCAAGGGTATTTTTTTTTTTAAAAAAAAGTTTTGCTTGCTTTCTCTTTTCTTTTGCTTCACATCCTTTCTTAGGTAGTGCTGGCACTCCAGTGATGTTTAATAGAAATGGTGATGCACCAGGACGTTATGACATCTTTCAATATCAAACCACAAATACATCCACGCCAGGCTACCATCTGATAGGCCAATGGACAGATGACCTACAGCTCAATGTATGTTCCCTTTATTTTCTTCTTTCATGGATGGTGCAGTAAGAAGTATGCTATTTTTGCCAAACACATGTTGAATTTGTCTTTATTATTTTATATAAATTTCTTTTTGGATAATGAGAAGAATCTCACATGAATGAAAGCCTTGTGTGTTGTATATTCCCATTATGTGCTTCGAACTTATGATGATTCTAAATGTCTAAATGTTTTGTGAAGTGTTGCAATTTTGGGATCTGGAAGAATCCAAAATGGTTTTCAAGCAAGTAGATTTATATGGTATAAGTTTACCAATTGTCTGTATTTTCATTTTTCTATAGAATTAAATCAGAATGTTCTGTTCACTCAAAATTCAGTCTGTATTATAGATTCCATTATATAATTTCCCCCTGCAAACAATTTCCTAGCTAGTAAATTCTGAGTCTGTCTGTCAGTCAGTCTACTAATATGAAAAGATTTATAATGGTTTTATGATTTTTCCAAGTGTGTTTGAAACAATAGGTTGATATCTCATTTTGGAAGGCCCATTAATTGCATGGAAAATTGAAACGTTGCTTGTACAAACAAAATATATTTGTGTAATGCCAGGAGTTGATAGTGAAATTTTGTTGCAACTGCATTAGCTGAAAAATAAATGAAATCTTCTGCTAACATAGACATCTCAATTGCTGTAATTTCCTCAATATTGTCTTATCCTAGACATAATATGCTAAACGTATGAAAGTATGTTGAGTCAAGTGGAAAAAGGATTGACTTAGTAAATCATTCATATCCCACTCATTTTTTAAAAAAAAGTATGGCAGGAGTATTATTAGAGAGAGAAAGAATGTTCTAAGACAGCCTGAGATGGTGGTAATGGTTTATATGTATTTCAATCAAAGCAAGAAAAAAAAATCTACAAAACATAATGTTTCTACCCTTGAAAATAAAAGTAAATAAATAAGATTTTGTGTGTGTATGTGTGTGTGTGTTTGTGTGTGTGTGCATGAAAAAGACTACATGGCCACATGTTGCTGCTATTCCAAATATGAGGAAGTGATATTTTTGTAACCAGAAGTTGCAGAAATATGAACATAGGGAAACCCTGTTGAAGGCAGTAAGGCATTCTTTGGGGTGGGGGGGGAACATCATAGATGTAGGCTACTCTATAAACCTTTTCATGACTGGGTTTGGCACTGAAGTCTGAGCTCCCATGGATTTACATTTGATTAAATAAAAAATGTGGCTATATTCTCTGAATATCATAAAACGAACAGATGCCTGATTTGATATATATTGGCTGCTATTCAGCTTACAATATGTTGGGATTAAATATTACTCCTTTAGAATGACTCCTTTTTCATGAACTGCCGAAAGAACACGTGCCTGCTTTTGAATTTGTAATGATCATTTAACAGCCCAGCTTAGTATCCCATTTATCAGGGTAAGAATACTTCTGTCATTCTCTCTCCCTTCCAAACACTGGATTTCAATGCCTAAAACCTGTCCAGCTGCTCATGCATTTGCAGGCCATGTCATGCTTTACAAAAATGCCAAATTATCTAAATTGCATTAATTTAAGGGGAAAGCTTTTTAACGCAGTGATATCATTGTCCAAATTTACGGAGATGATTCTGAAAAAAAAAACATTTGGATATGAGCTAAGGATGTTTAGGGGGAAAAAAATAATGTTGGTGAAGCATAAAAAAAGATCTGCCTTCTCTAATAATTTATTTGTTTGTATGACTGTGAATGCAGTAAAATTTTTGTCTTGGCACAGCTCTGCAGAATTATTCCAGCCAATAAGTTGCTTTAGGTATCTGATTGAAATACAGAGCTGAGCATTATGCTTCTTGATACCAAAACCCAAAGTGTGAAATTCTTTTTTCTTTTTCTGACATATTTGTTATCCCAGCTATAGTATAGTTCCCCAGGTAAAGTGAGGATGCAAGGCAGGTAGGTGAAATGGATGAGAGTATCATGCATAGTTCAAAGAAATGGAAACCTTACTGCTTTCCCAATATTCTTGAATTGATCACCTTCATTAGACAATTATTTTTAATGAAATAGCACAGTTGACATGTTAAAGAAGTATATTCTTTATTCAACCAAAGTATAACAACAACAACAACTATTATTATTATTATTATTATTATTATTATTATTATTATTATTATTTAGTAATTTATATAAATTTGTACAACTCTTGACTCTCAGTTACTGTGTGTGGCTCACACAAGCAAAGAAATTACAATAAAAGCATTTCAAAATTAAAAATAAAGATAAAAGATGCCAGACCAATGAAGTGAGAGGTCTCAGTGTTCCCCTCAAAGACCTGGGTGAAAAGTGGGAAGCATCCAGATCTTGGGAAGGACCTCATTCTAGAGCAGCGGTTGCCAACCGGTGGGCCAGAAGAAAATTTTGGTGGGCCGCAGAGAAATCATATCCCCAGAGCACCCCCCCCCAAAGCAATTAATCCAGGCTGCGCAGAAACACAAGGCTGCACCACATGGCCTGCGGGAACCATTCCCACCCACTCTTTCCCCTGCAAACTTGCCTGCTAAATTGCTATTTTTCCGACCATCAGCTGTGAGGTTTAGTTTAGCTAGGAAGCAGGAAATGGTTGGATTTCTTGCTTTCTAGCTAGTCTTTAGATCTTTGGCTCTGCTTTTAAGTACAGCCGAACCTCCCTTAGGACTGTAGGTTCCATTATCCAGTGCAGACTCATGGCAAGCAAATTTTCTGTGACAGAGTTAGCCAATGGCAGATAGACAGATCACTGAATAATTCTGTGAGCAACTCAATCTGCCTGCCTGCTTTGTCTGATTTGGGGTAAAAGTTACTCTTTTTTCATAAAAAATTCAATATTTATATAAATATTTATAATATTTACACACAACCATGCCCAGCCAGTCACATGACCACCAAGCCACACCCACAAATTAGGACATGCCCACAGAACTGGTTAGTGGTCCCTGGGATTTAAAATTATGAGTTTGGTGGTCCCTGAGGTCCAAAAGGTTGGCGACCCCTGTTCTAGAGGACAGGTTCTCCTTCAGACAAGAGGCACTTCTGGAGTCCTGAGAGATGACATGGTTTAATCAAAGAAATCTAAAACTGAGGAAGATCAAATTGGTCAGGCAGATGTCAGTTCCCAAGCCCTATGCTATCTAGAACTTTTTAGATAACCATCAGCATCTTGAGTCATACCTGAAAACAAAGATCAAAACTTGGGAGAGAGTCTCTATAGAAGAGACTTCCCAAGGAAAACAATTTAGTGATGGAAAGATTTTTTTTTTGCCTGCTGCATGTTACTCTACATTGCGTGTAGAGGATGTATATTTTAAAAACATCTGCAAAGAGTTCGCCTCTGATTTCTTTATTTTACTTAATCTTCTAACTTTAAAATTCAATCTATGGATAGTTACTCACCTTTCAACTCTTGATTATGACATATGCCTCTCCTGTTTTATATTATACTTTTTGGTTTAACATTTGTTGTGCATTTATTGAAGTATAATAGTAGATGGAGCAATAGAAAAGATGTAGTAAACAAGAGCTTTTTCATGGGCTTTGGAGGGTGGAAAAAAGGAGACAGATGCCAATACTTGTTATGTTATCACTTGTGTAGTTAATCAAACCCAAGTATGTAATGGTGCATTTACATGATAAAGTCCAAGAATGGACAAGCAATGAGAAATTCTATGTTTTAAAAGTTCTATGCATTTACTGTAATATACTAATATGTTGGATAGTGTACAAGCATTATGTGAGTTTAGAGTCACATGTAGACTCACTGACATGAAAGATTTCAATTAGTCATTTCATTACTAATGTTTTATACTGACATTAAGAGAGTCTCTGTATACCTACCTTTTCATTGATTTACAGTCTTGATCAAACAATAATTCAGTAAATGGAAATATCTTCTTTTATTTTCCTACTGTGGACTCTGAACCTTCTTTAAAAAATCATCTTGTAGATATTCCTTGAGATGATACATCTTTCCTAACATGAAGATACTCTTGGATGCAGTCCATAGGGCATCACTTTTTGTCAAATTCTTAAAAGGGCTGCTCTGTTTTTGAGGATTTCAGGTATTTTTTTCCCTCAAATTATTTAAAGAATTAATTATGAGGATTCAAAATATATAGCTTCAAATATTCTAAATACACAGCTTGAATACAAAAGGCTACGTAAAAGTAATTCCTCTTATCATGACAGCTGCTAAACACCATCAGCAATTTTTGAGAAACTATATATTACCTTATAAATTTTGTTAATCAGCTTTATGTTAGTTTTAGTCTTAATCTCTTGTTTTTGTTTTTGTTTTAAAATCTCTTTTTGAATATTCTTTGTTATGATGTAGTCCTATGGCCTAGGGCCAAAACAAATAAAAAACTAATTGTAAAACCATTAATAAAATCAAGAAAATATATTTTAGGCATATTTTAACGTTCTCTTCTATATTTCTATTCCAATCTAATCTGCTTTGAACTGATTACATCAATGAAATGGTCTCTAACTGTGGATTGTATGGAATTTTTTTAAAATAAAGACAGGCTTTTAGTCATATTCTAACCAGAAACTTTTTTAAAGAATGAAAAAAGTAAATGTCAATCAAACCTTGGACACATGAATTCATGATTGGCTTAAAGACTGATTTAAATACTTTCCATAAAGTATGATAGAGAAATATGAATATCCGAGTACAATCATCTCTCTTATACTGTGACTTGTTATATGATTATATGAATTGCATAATCCAAAAGCATAACCTGGAGGTAGTGATGTTATGTTGAAACCCATTTAATGACATATCACGGTTTGCTATTGTTGTTTACTAGCTATTAAAACCACCACTTCATTTGAATACTCCTTAGTTTCATATTTGCTATTGTTTATTCCATATACTGCTACAGATTTTCTCTTTAGATAAATACTACAGCTTCATGGAATTTAATGACCTGAATAGACCTGACCTCTGTAGTCTAGAATAAATGTCAATAATTATTGTAGTTAGCCTA